TTTTTTTTTTTTATTTTTATTTTTTTTTTTGCAGAAATGGGATACTTGTCCCATTTTTATTAGACAAGTGTATTTTTTTTGTTTCTAAAAAAAATATTAAAATTTGTATTTTTTTCATTCTCTACAAATAGAGATCACACTTAATATATTTTAGAACAGAATTGTAATTTTTAAATAAATTAAAATAAAATAAATATTTAGGTTGAGTCGTGTTGGGGATAACAATAATTTAGGTTGGAAGATTGAGTTGCGTAGGTAGAGGAGAGAGAAATAATTTTTAATTGTTAGGTTGGGTTGGGTTGGGTTAGGGACAAGACCATCTTTATCGTCAACCCAACCCAACCTAATAATTAAAATTATTTCTCTCTCCTCCATATACACAACTCAATCTTCCAACCTGATTTATCTTTATCCCCAACACAATTCAACCTACATATTTATTTTATTTTAATTTATTTAGAAATTACAAATGTGTTCTAAAATATATCAAGTGTGGTCTCTATTGGCAGAGAATGAAAATATATGAATTTTCATATTTTTTAGAAACTAAAAAAAATACACTTGTTCAATAAAAATGAGACAAGTGTCCCATTTTTCCTCACAATACCGGTCGCGACCCGAGGTCACATTGTGACCTGGGTCGCGCAACCTAATGACCTTTTCCTTTTTTCTTTTTTTTTTTAATTTCCGTGACCCAGTCATTGGGTCACGAATAAAGTTAGTCTAAGGATAGTCTAACTTCTGCTCACAATGAACACGAGTTAATATGTCTTATCAGTTAATATGGTAGGAGAATATCAATATGAAATATTCCATGAGTATGTAGTTCAACGATTATATGTAGGATTTTGAGTCATTGGCTATAAATATTATTTAAGCCCTTTGGATCGTTGGAGAGGTAAAAATAAATCATGAATTGAGTAGCCGTTGGCTTATTAGGAGTCCTCGTTCACTCGAAAAACGAATATTGAAATTTGTACTCACTCGAAAAGTACTCTATCCCAATACTGGTCAACTCGATTCGTATCAAAATGATTATATAATCTTGACATATAACTGATAGACACATAAATATTAATATAGCTAAGTATGAAAAGATTTCATATATGATGTGTGTTTCAAATTTGTGAAAGCCTAAAAAAGCCAAACCTAATTAGGTATTCAACTAATTAATATCTTCAAATTGAAAACACCAAATGTATGTTTGGCACAACATTATCACATTAGTATTTAGTCGCTAGCAATAGTTTTTTAAGAGGGCATCCAATTAATATAATTGCATTACTAGTTAGGTATACATTGTTCTAAAAATCGGCCTACGCAGCCGTCTAGGTGGCGCCTAGACGCTAGGCGGTGCCCGAACGCTTCCGATTTGAACAAATCGGCATATTCGTCGTGCAGATGAAATCTTTTATCTCGATTCAACTTTTAATATTTATGAATTTCAAGTTCCAATAGTAATTCCATTTATGTTTTTACTTCAATGTAAAAACTGAAATTATCAATTTTAGTTTGATAAGTTCCCCTTTGTAAATCTCCACGTTTTTTAACAGCCGCCGCCATGTCCGCTTTAGCTATTAGGTAGCTCT